AATCTGATTTCACCCACATCCTGGACAACTGTTTACCAAGACCTCCTGGACCTTGGGTTAGAGCCTTCCTTCATGACGATGTAAGTTTACTTCATCTCCTATTTCTAGAGCTCTTGGTTTAGCTCCTTTTCTGCTCCGGAAATCTGAGTTTCGCTCAATTCCTAATCGTGGAGATCTGAATTCCACTCTTCTTCTCCTTCTGGAGATCCTGGAGATTATGAGTTCAGACAATCTTATACTCCTGGAAATCTGAGTTTAGCTTCAGTTCTACTCCTGGAGATCTGAGTTCCACTCATTTTCTAACCCTGGAGAATCTGTCTTCCTTAAGAGTTCAATTCTTTTCCAAAATCTAACACCACTAATCTTGGTAATTAAGGTCTTCTGATTCCAAACCTCATCAAATGATCAAATGTCCTCCTCGGGATCGTGGTTTATTTCCAGCCTAAATGTTTGTATTTAACCTGTACATCAATTGGTCTAAATAAAGACAATGATGGTGTGGATGAAGAGCACTGAGCTTCTGTAGACTATTTAGCTTTAACCATGAAAAAAATGACCAGAGCTGAGCTGAAATTAGCGATGAGTGTGTGACTCATGGAAGCAGAGTTGAGGCTTTTTGCTTGGTTCCAGCAGGGTTAAGTGGATTATAAAGCCCTGTGGTTATCCTGTCAGCTGTGACCGACTACGGCAAAGAGGATTTCAAAGCGTTCATTCACTCAATGCCACGTGCACACGTTGCATTTCTGTCACATCTAGGCAACAAATTATTGCACTATATGCCCTGTCAAATAGCATAATTTGTGCAGTTATTATTGTGATTGCGACTGCCAAATGGGGTAATTGTCTAAAGATATTATTGATGCAGAATTGGATTATGGTGTCAATCTCTTATTCCCAGTGGTACCTGAGCTGTTTTATAACTTTCAGTTTTTAATCATAAGAGCCAGATTTTCATAAACCTGGCCTACGGTGCTGACATTTTAAACTGCGCTATAATGATAGCAATTGTGCTGCTGTGCGTCTCGGCCTTGAAAAGGCATAAGACGGAATGCCTTGAATAAGCACGCAAATTCGATTGGGCCTTCAAATGAATGCTGTCTCACTCTTGCTTATTTGCCACATATTGTTAAATAATTTAATTTAACCCATTTCCGAAGGGTTTAGAAGAAAATACAGGTCATGTTCAGTTACAAAGTTTGGTATTATTTTGGTATTATTAAAGCACAATCTGCAAACTGCGTCATCCGCATGACTGAGTGCTGACACAGGCGCTATCGTCCCTGATCAGCAGGGAAAAGCAGATAAAAATACAGCCGTCATTATCTCACTCTGCCTAGCTGCGAAAGCATCACTTTCATGGGGAAATCGATTGGTTTTTGTGAACATGACGGCGACGCAAATGACACGCAGTTTAGCTCCATACAGCACAATTAGACACGCACACAAAACGGTGCTAATGAAAATGATGCGATTAGGAGCACTTTAATTTTAGCGAAGCGTTTTGGGAGGATTAGTGCAGGCTATTGGGGAAAGGCAATGACAGGAAAGGAGGGGTGATTATATATACAGTATGAGTGTGTGTGTGTGTGTGTGTGTGCGGGGCTCTTTTCTTTCATTCTTGCATCTGGAGCACAGATTATCTCTAATCTGCGGCTCTTTCATTCGACCCAATCCCAGGTCAGACCTGCATTACTAGGGATGCTTTCACATATGCAGTGTTTAGTTCGTTTAAATGGAACCCTGGTGTGTTCTACCCCTCGGTGCAGCTCTTTAGTCAGGCGAGAACACAGCAGTCACACTTGGGTCCAAGAGCATCTGAGCGAGGTGGTCTCGGTTCGCTTTGAAGTGAACGGTAATGCGGTTCGATTGCAGTGAGGAAGCGATTCAACTCTGAATCGACTCATCTGCAGGAAAAGAATCAAAGATGTCAAAGATGAGTTTTTTTTCTGCTGAATTACGCCAAACCACAGAGCTGTAGAGCTGCAGAAATGCCATGTGCTCTGGAAATTTGGACTGATGATCAAAAAGAGAAAACAAATGCTGGATGTGACACAAAACCAATTATTTATATAATTATCTAGTAATTTACTGAGCGTCTCCAGTGTTCTCCATGCTTTTTGTGATTTCCATTTTTTCCCATTGGTGTTTTCTGACCAGTGAATGAAAGATTTGGCCAAAGCTTTTTTTTTTTTTTTTTTTGGCTTTTTAGTTCATAACAAAAAAGCAAATGAACAAAAAGAATCAATTTCTTTCTGATTCAGAAACTTATTTGTTTCGTCCTAAAAGAACGACACACACTGATTCTAGTGTCTGACTCAAAGCGACTTGCTGAAAACCCTAATCATGAGCAAAGTAACTGCATTAGCAAGGCTATTTATAAAACAGACTGAGCGCAAAATGTATGTTGTACTCAGACTAAGGTCATGTCATCCCAACATAATTTCAGCTCTGTCTGTACATATTGGTGATGAATTCATTTTAATATAAATACTTTCTTAGATTGTGTACAACTCATCATTTCATGACCTCTTGTGGGCATAGTGTGACTCAAATGGCATCAGTGGTAATGTATTTAAATGTCTTTTCATTCGTTTTGCAGTGACTCATTTTCTACTGAAACTGTAATTGTGTGTGAATCAAACAGAGAGAGAGAGAGAGAGAGAGAGAGAGAGAGAATGCTTGAAGCATTTAAAGCTGGATCAGTCAGCTGTAAACCCCAGATTCTCCGAATTTACGTAATGTTCTGGCTCAACAGAGGCCTAAATGGATCTTCTGCAGTCCTTTCACAGAGGAGGTGCGAGTTGCATTGCTGCATGCGCATCATTAGATATATTTTCATCCACGTTTCAGAAATTTCAAGCTGATTTCCAGAAAATACTTGGCTAGCTAGCAAACACTGCTCGCTAAGAGTATGTACAACAAGTGGCATATATGTGTGTGTATATATATATATATATATAATGTGTGTGTGTGTGTGTCTGTGTATATTTCTGTTGTGAGAGGAACATTTGCATGTTTATTTCACTCTGTTAGGAAGGGTGTTTTTTTTTTTTTAATCAGTTATATCTAGTATATTTCAGAAACCACACTGTTCTAGTTATCTTCTGTGTGTGTTCTCGAATGTAAGTGTGTGTCTAATAGACTGTGGCAGTTCAAAAGCCGCAGTAGACTCCCTCTAGCATGTCCGTGTGTCAGGTGTAATCCCCCAGTGACGGCGGCAGATCTGTAGAGCTATCCATCACGCTGTGTTAGAAATGCACGTGTGTAGCTAATGAAGAAATTCTGTCGCTCATGCTGAAATGATTGGATGCCATCGCTAAGCAGGTGGGTTAAACTAGCCCTGATCTTTGGAATTAATTTCGACACACCTCCTTTCAGACTATTTTCTAGTAGTCCAGCTGCGGTTAGTGTTTTAAATATAACCTTCTGAAGTCATTATGGATTGCAGCAAAGTGCTATTGAATTCTCGACTCTAATTGGTGAGTCATTTTCTATAACAGCAGCTCGGACAGTAGTACAGCTGCAAATCACAGGTTTATATTAATGCACTCGTTCTGATACAGTATTGTTTCTATAGTAACAGCTCATTCACAAGGATTTGTACGGCGAATGCTCTACATAAAAGGATTTCAAATGTGTGTAATCATTGATATGGTTTTCTGTAGAGAGAGGTTTCTTTAGCTTTTATGGAAGGAGTCTCCAGTGTTAGCACTTTGTTACAATTGGAAATAAAGCTGCAGGCTGGTGAGGGAACGACTGTTTCTAATTTATATAATGTAAGTGATGAAAGGGAATTAATTTGTTTTGCAGATGTTCCACAATACTAAATGTAACTGTAATGGATAAAAGTACAAGGTTACCATTGGCTAGTGGCTGATCATGTTTTATTCCTTACTAATTGTAGAAAAAAGCAGCACAATCATAGCAAAAATGCAGACTGTTTTCTCGGCTTGTTTCTGTGAGCTCTGAGTGGGAAATAATGAATAGCCTTGGAAAGAAGTGTATACAGTTGCAATATGGTGAATAAACAAGCGAAATTAGTCACGATGGATATCCTATGTGCTATAAATCCCAAGATATCTCAGGAATAGCTCTCGCCTTCTGTGCGCTTTCTTTCCTCCCCTTTCATGCTTCTCCACCACCTCTCAGTCTGACTACACCCCTGCGGTTCTCTAATTGAGTGTTATTGTCACCCTCTCTCATGCCACTCTCGAGCTGGCAGAGCTTCTTCCACCTGCGACCGCAAAGGATTGTGAGAGGTTTAGCAACGTTGACTCCCAAAGGGACTTTTCCAGGAAACTTTACCGACAGCTATGTTAGGATTTTTACAACCTCTTGTTGGAGACCTCCACCAGGGTACATTGAAAGTCCTGAGATGGTCCACCATGCTGGATCTGTTGGTGTCTATTAAACTTGTGGATTGAACTTCATGTTTATTGTCGCACCACCTGTCTACATGACAAAATATCAAGTCTCAAGAACTGAGGGTAATATACTGTACAAGACAATTCAGGGTCATCTTCTGACCTTCTAGCAGCTAGAAATGCTCAGATGGAAATAAAGCAGAACATTTTTCTTCTCTCAAGTAGAACCTTGTAAAAGTAACTATAAATGGACAGAAAGTTTGACATGTAGTTCATTAAGAAAATGAACTTTTATGTATCTTATCCAAACAAGTACTTGCCGTAGGCTGATTCCTGTTTTTATTCCACCTTGGCTTGTTGCTTTTACACCAGAACACCTGCTAAGAATCAGATCCCAAATGTTGATTCTGAATGTCCGCCATGTTGGCTCCTTGCTTGCATCTCAATCTGCTGGGTTTCAGAGGAAATGCTCTTCACAATCAATCACACTGAAGAGAACATGCCTCCCTCCTGCTGTCAAGCTGTGCACATTTGCTAATTAAGCTGTTTCAGCATTCAGAGATGCTCACAGACAGATCTAACTTAGTCTCAGCATCAGATGCCCCGCCTACAGGCCACAGAGCGACAGCTATATAGGGCAGTGGTGGCTCATTGGTTAAGGTGCTGGGTTACTAATCAGAAGGTCATGGGTTCAAGCTCCAGCACTGCCAAGCTGCCACTGCTGGGCCCTTGAGCTAGGCCCTTAACCCTCTCTGCTCCAGGGGCACCATAACACAGATGACTCTGCACTCTGGCCCCAACTTCCTAACGACCTGGAACGCAAAGAAATGTTATTCACTTTTCTGGCCACAACCTTCAGGATGTTGAAGGTTGCAATCTGAATGGCTATTCACATTTTCGTATGCTGGAACTGGAAAAGAACCTTTTAACCTATTGTTGCTGGGCTGATAAAGGTCACAGGATCACATCCTTGATGAAAATGTGTGTTTCACCATTCAAAAGATGTATTAATCTATCACAGGCAACAAATTTGTTGAACATGTGACTTGTGTTATATTTTAAATATTTCATAGGGGTGAATGGACTATCAGTCAAATGGTTTTCGTCTATGAAAGAAGTTGGTTCTTGCCCATGTTTAGTGACAAAATGCACCAGACTTCTTAACAACAACAAAAAAAATAGAAGTCTGACAAGATGAAATCCTTCCCAGCCCCAAAGTGGGAGGATGATATCGCAGATCTCCACCCTTAATCACACGGAATGAGGAACCTATCCAAGGAGATCGCAGCCGCTGATCATACACCATGATGAATATTACACTCCAAAGTCAAGAATATCAGATTAAAAACTTTTACCTGTCCTGTCCTCTAATGTCCTTGTAAGTTGTTTATCTGTTTCTCGATTAATTTGATCTTCGCACATCCCCATCACCTTTCTACGATGCGTTGCAATCTATGTTTGTGCCATACAGTTTGAGAAATATATCTAATATCTTTGTAGGAGCATTCCAATTAAAATGGTAATTTAAAAAATAAGGGTAAAGTGCATTGAGGTGCGGGAGCATTCACAAACCCAAATGGCATTGCAGTGTGATGAAACGTGGTTAAAAAGCCCCCGCACGCACACACACACACACAAACACAAAGTAAAATGGTGTTCATTCGGTCATGGCCATCTCACACACACAGCTCCGGCTCTGTAGTCACGTTAATGAAAAGCTGAGACAAGCTGAACTCTCTGGAGGCTAAATGCAGTTTAAGAGAAGAGTAATTTTGCAAGGTGATCATTATTACAGACCTGAAAGTGAGAGAGAGAGTGAACAATTTCACTGTTAGCTCGTAAAAGCAAAAGAGCAAGAGCTTCTTTTCTTAATCACCATTTTCCAATGATGTCCAACATTAAATTCATCAGAAATCCAATGCAAAAGTAGCAAATGGCGAACTCAAAGTTCCAGCCATCCGACACTGGGTGACAGCAGAGATTCGGCTAGTTAGAAATCTACGAGATGATTAGCATCATGGCGGTGATGGCGGTTTTAGCATGAAAGTTGAAGCTTTGGACGCTGATCTGATTAAGCAGAGGTGAGAGAGCTAGACAGACTAAAGGACTAAAGCTCTGCTGCATTGCTCTCTTTGGGTGCAGATGAAACGAGGGCTAAATCCCACTGCACCAGTATCAGCAGGAAGAATGGCATTGTAGCTAATCTGAGAAAGCATTAACCAAAGTGAAAATAAACTGATACGTTGATGAAACCCATAATTTCATCAAGTTGTTTTAGGTGGATTTTTCCTTTAACTACGGTAAGTGTGTGGTACAAACTATTTTGAACAACAGTACCATAAGTACCAAGACGTTTTAACTAAATTCCATTGAAATGCCGATATGTTCCAGGTTCAAATTTCTTCTAATTAGAATAATTAGAAAATTATAGCTCTTCTCCAGCACTTTGAAAGTTAACACTAGAGCTTAGAGGACTGTAAAAGAAAATGTTACTTTGCACTTTTCTTACTTTACACTGCACTACAAGCACCTTTCCAGGTTAAAGACATACACTAAAGGTACAAAAGGTGTATGCTTGATGGTACCACTCCAGTGTCATGGAATAGTAAGTTTTCTAAGAGTGTATTATTCTGTGTCAAGTTTGCCATTAAAGTCCTCAATTCTGGAGAAGGCAGCAGAATTAGACGATTATGGCATGACGCGGTTCTCCTGCTGATGGCATGATTATCTGGAAGTTAATGACCCGTCGTCTTCCCGATTAACTCCAGACTCGTTCTCAACACGGCGGTTTTACTGATCCTTCAAAAGCAGCTCATTTACTGCTTTTTTTTTTTTTTTGGATGCTGCGGGGGTAACAGTATGTCGTGTGTTGACTCCTCGTGTAATCAATACGACAAACAGACGATTAATCTCCACTTTATAGACTCGTAATGCTTTATAGACTCAGGTTGAAACTGTATTATCATCAGTAGGCCTCGCGTCTGTTCAGGCAAGGGCATTATGGGAAATGTTTACAGAGGGGAAGGAGAAGCAAAAGGGAGGAAGAAGAGAGAAATTTGTAATAGATACACAGAAGAAGATAAAGAAACAGCGATAGCAAGACAGAGATAGGATGAAGCAAAGAATGCTTCTGGCATTATTCATCATGACAGTATTTATTTCTTTACTTGTATGCTTATCTTTTTTGGAGAGTGTTGTTTAGATGCTCGAGGTGGAAATTAATCTCTGTTTACATTGGAGAGGTGCCCAGGACTTTCCGGGTGTCTTTGCTAATGTCGTTACTGAAACTTGGTAAAACAACAATTCTAGCTTAACCTCCAAACAGATTTGAGAGTCTAATTATGTGCATGTTTGATTTCCTCGCTCAGTGAAGGAAGAAACATTTCTGTGCCTCGAATTAGCTTCTCAAAATGCTTTCTTGCATTAGTGTTTTATGCAAAACTGCACGGCTGTTGGGGGGGTGATAGGTAATTTCATGGCAGTTCGTCGCTAAATGAGAATGCTGTTCGGCTAGGTGAGGTGACAGTTCCAAATCCGAGTCGATCAAATGAAACCAGTGGTGGTTCCAGAGGTGGGATTTTCTGTCTGACGTTTATGAACGGCTTTTAATAATGGACGATGGGAGTTCTATTGCACTCGGTTCCCTTGTTGTACTATCCTGGAGTCATTGCAGAAAGCTGATGCTGGGTTTAACCCTGTAGCATGTAGTAGCGTCACATCCCAGTCTCTTCCCACCCGTGAGCTGAGCTGCCGGCCCACCGGCTTACTGTCATCATCACTTCCACCTGTTTCTCATTAAGGGCTCATTTCAGAAATGAATAAATACTCATCTTCAACAGACGAACTTTGTGAAGTCTTGCCAATTATTCTCTAACATGCTGCATTTAGGCCTGTAATAATTATGCAATTTTGTCTGCCAATTAATTGGATTAGGCTACAGTGGTGTTGGTGCTGATTAATTTCCTATAAGAGCAGCTCTGACAGTAGTGCAGCCGCAAATTACAGGGTTATTATATTATATATAATGTGCTCATTGTAATACGTTGTAAACTTTTTTTTTTATTATTCCTATAGTAGCCACTTATACTGGGACTTGTACGGCAGTTACACTATCTTAGACTATCTCTATGTTAGAATTTTACTTTTGTATGGGACAGTGCAGGATGATGTTGGATGATTCAGGGGGGTGAAATGTTTCTTTCCCATGGTTATGGTGAAGCTTATTGCTAGGAGGATTTAACGTCCCAGTGAAGTCGGTGTAGGAGTCTGATCTCAGCCTCAAACCACTAATCCATCATGCTTTTATTTATCACTGCTGTCATCCAGACTAATCCGGATCTGCCTGTTCTGAGCTCTCCCTTACTGGGTTGTCCTATTCTAACAAGGCTTTGCAGTATGGCGAAGATTATTTTGCCCTTAAGGCAGAATAATGCAGTAAGGAAACCACTAACGTTATGGTATATAGGCAGAGATAATGACCAAAAAGGTACAAAAGTGGTGCATTGCTTGTATTATATTATAGTATTTCTTAAAAAAAAAAAAAAAACACAATATGGCCAAAAGTATGTGGACAGCTGACCATGACACCCATATGTGGTTCTTCCCCAAACTGTTGCCACAAAGTTGGAAGCACACAATTTTATAGGATGTCTTTGTATGCTGTAGCATTACAGTTTCCCAAACTTGTTCCAGCATAACAGTGACCCTGTGCACAAAGCAAGCTCCAGGAAGACATGGTTTGCCAATGCTGGAGTGGAAGAACTACTTGAGTGTCCGGCACTCAAGCGCTGACCTCAACCCCACTGAACACCTTTGGGATGAACTGGAACACCGACTGCACCCCAAGCCTTCCCAGAAGTGTGGAGGTTATTATACCAGTGAAGGGAAACTAAATCTGGATTGGGATGTTCAACTAGCATTGTGGATTGTGATGGTTAGGTGTCCACATACCTTTGGCCATAGTGTGTATGTAATGTTTTGGTGATTCTAGCAGTTGTCCTAAGGAAGAAGAAGTTAACATTAATCTCAAACTCCTTCAAAGTTGTTAACAGATGCCATGATTTTGGTTTTTTGGACAGTTATCATCCAATGTGTTTTTCACCCCTAGTTGTCAGCCCAGCTGATTGTCCCCAATATGAATTGGTGCCTGGGATGGAATTGAGCTGTTTTCTGCACAACTAGGTCAGAAGTCTGGGACATGGATGGCCAAAGGGAGGAGGGGACAGAAATGCACAGCCTGGAGCGTCTGATTGAATGTGGCCATGGATTGGATCAGATCAATCCCAATAAGCCTTGCGCCATGTCTCATATGCGACTGTGAGAAGCGGGAGTGCGGAGATGAGCGCCGCCAGGCCCAAATCTGATTTACTGAAAAGCGGGAGCAGCATAATGCTATTAGACAGCTCCGAATGAATGACAGAGCAAAGAGGGGAGGAAATAGAAAAAAAGGGAGGTGAAGGAAAGGGCAGAGCAGGAGAAAGGGATAAGGAGAGGAAGAGTGAGAAAAGGACGGAATTAAGTGCAGTAAAATACAGGGCTTTGGAGTTAGGAAAAGTTCGAACTTTCAAAGACACGTGTTCAGGATGATAATCCCTGAAATCATCCCAAAATCATCTCACAAACTTACCAGAAATGGTGTCTAGACAGAAGGAGAATCAGTCCCTCAACCCTAGAAAGTCAGCCTCAAACTTGCATCAGAAATATTTAAATC